AAACATTTTCATACATATATTGGTTATCATTTTCCCGTATTAAAAGTATGGGTATCGTATGAATACTTCCATCCAAAGTATTTGCCTACTTTATTTTTCTCTCAAACGAGATTAACTCAAGTCAGCTAAATTGTCACTTTCATGTAGAAAAGCCATAAAGGAAAAAATTCAACCTCTTTCATAGAAACATAGCTAGATACATCAGTCTGCCATTAAAAAGAGAGAAATATGTTTAACGTCTATCGATATTATCTAATTAGTCAAAACTGATAAATTAGTCTGAACATACACATGTTTGTTTATCTTCAATTGTCACCGATTAGAATTTAGAGTTAGACTATAAGTTTTGAGGAAGATAATTAAACACGGCATGTTAATGACAGGTACATTGCAGGGTAATCTTCTGCATCTTCCCTAACTTCATATTCATCAATCAATACCTCTAACTTTGTGTAGACATGATGATATTTGCATTCTTATGTTTGCATTATATAACACGCACACGCGCAGGCACGTGCATATGCACGCGCACCCGCATGCGAGCATGCGCGCATGTGACCACCTGCCTGCCCGCCTACACATGCGCGTGTGCACACACATTTCATAAAGGGCGCCAAAAAACACTTTGGAACCACAAAGGTTGGATGTAGGGATGAAAGACAGCACCGCAAAATAATACGCAATGCGATGATATTGTGCACCTGTTATTGATCGTGTTGGCCATGCATTTTAGAATTTCATGATCATGCAAACTATAGACATGCGGGCTAATATATGAATACAAAACCAATGAAACTCTAGATCCAGATCTTAAGGATATTAGCTAAAGTGAGGGGGGACTTTCAAGCACTTCACTAACATGTTGATTTATATTCAAATATTTTCTCAGAATATTCACTGTAACTTCTCTGATTAGGTAACCTTATTATCCAAAAGTGTAAACTAATTTTTCAAGTGCGTGCCATGTCGAGAGACCCAGTTATCTGATCTTATTCCGATATCATGTCAACCACTTCACCGATTCAATTAGGCTAATGGATTATAAAGTATAAATTCTGGGTGAGTACTATATAAAGTCCAGGTTAATTCTGACTGAGGCTTCTTAAGCCCAATGTTCCCTTCAAAAACAAAACCCACCCAAATTACTTATCTCATTCCGATTCATATGCCCCTGCTTTTCTTCAGAAATTATTGCGATTTGCAAGATTAGCCAAAACTGCATCTGTAAATAGCCTGAATGCTGAATTGAGAGGGCTCCTTTGTTTTTTGTTGGGTGTGTGGTGTCGTGGGGGGGGGGGGGACGGCGTGATGGAGAGGAGATTTTCTCGAAAATGCTCAGACACATATTTGCTAGGCAGAACGTTCTTTAAATCATGTCCACCAGAAACCATCTAACAATAGGATAGCCAACCCAAACCCATACATTGTCAACTATATAATAGATGTTATACATTTTCGCTCACAAATCAAAATCTTCGGAAACAGTAGCCTCGAGCATAACCCCACCCGATTCTTCGATATCGGGTCCTATCCAATAACCACACACGACAACTTCATGTACATCGGATATTAGATTTAACAAACTTGACACTTTGGCACAAATAAGTCTTGTAGGGATCTGCAAATCACTACCATGTCCTGAGACCGTCGGCAGTTTTAAGATTGTGCCAGCTTTTGCATTGGAAGAATTCAACACATGCAGCTTTATAGGTAAATATGTTGGTCCAGTATATCTGAAGGACAACAAGTAAATAGCAGCAAAAGGGTTGGATTAACGACCTGTACTAAAAGTTGATCTCGGGAGAAATCTAATTCTGGCATGAAGTTTAGCTGATATGAACCTATCATTAAGAAATAGAGTTGACCAATAACAAAAAAATCATTACTCAAATTAGGTACATGACCATGCTTCACAATCGAGATAAGATTCATGAGAAATGGCAGGAAAAAATAGCTACTAGGCACTTGTTAACTTCGTTATTTGAGTAGCACTATAACTTCCTCTTCTTAAAATGACAACGATGTCTTAACACTACAGGCATCCAAAGTATCTAATATGTATCAGATAATACGAATTGGGATTCTAACATTTTAGATATTCTGAATATCCCATGAATGACTTGTCTTCAAGATCGAGGTTCCACGTTCTCAATATTATAATATATATATATATATATATAGTATATATCATATAACAAGTTGCAGCTCTTGCCAGCAGTTTTAAGTGTATCATGCCTTACAAGACAGTTATTTTTCTCTTGTTTCTTCAAAAATGAAAAGGTACAGGACCTTGAGGTTTCTCAGGCCTTATTATAAATTCATTAAAATACATACTCCATATAACAACAAAATTTATGTGACACGCAATACAGTTGTCCGAGAAATAAAATTCACAGTAATCCACTGTTCTGATCTTAAATCCCCAAGCAACTCAGGCTAAATTTAAGGTCTTTGGAGTAACAATTTGATGTTTTAAGTAGTTCTTCTACAATTTCCCTTCCCCGCCTCTACACCCCAATTTGGAAGGGAACAAGAAATGGTCATTAGAGTTGGAATTTTCACCTACTTTAACGTCATCTTCTTCCATTATCCCCTTCAAATATCTCCGAAACAGGGTTAAATGTTAACTTCCCTTCCCTTACCTCCCGACCCAAAGGTGTATACATGCCCAAACTTGATGTGAAGAACAAAAAGGATTAGGGTCTTTGTAGAATCTAGATAGTTAGACTTTTAAGTAAATTTTGGCACAGATAACTAAGGTGAATTTTTTCAGGCCTCACTTTTTTTCTTGTCCCCAAATCACCCTCTCAAACAATTCTTTTTTTCCATTTTGAATAGCCTAGGACTGAAAAATAAAATTACCTCTGGCTAAACAAATTGGAAAATAACATCTTACAAAAAATTGCTGTTTTTAGAAGCAAAGGTATTTCTTTCGTATCAGATAAATTATATTTTTCACACGATGGGGTTATATAAAATGAAAATTGGTTGACAAGACTATTGGAAGAAAACAGGGAAAGGAAACAGGGCTTCAAAAGTGTCGTAATAACTAATTGCAAAGGACTATGCAAAAGATAGGTCCAAAACTTCAGACAACTAAAGAACTACATCTGAAAAGTAAACAAAACATAGCCTTCTGTTCAAAATACTGCAACAGAAAATAAGCAAGGCCCAACTTCAAAAAAACATTCCAAGAACTTAAAGAGGCACTTTTTGATATAGTTAAGATCCAGTAACCACAAGGAAGAGGGAGAATATTATAAGTCTGATTCTGAAAAATGTAAAACAAAATTCCATGAAGCTGACGCTAGCTGGAACCATGGAATTCATGAAGGTTTACGAAGCAAACATGCTGTCCCTTCAAAGCTGACACTAGTTATATCACAGAGTAACAAACTTTAAGGAATGTTACCTAATGCCAGAGAGAGTTGCCTCTAAGAATGCATACTTCATTCAACACCACATACCATTTGGTTTTTAAATTCTAGGAATCCCGTATCCAAGATATGGCTCATTGCAATTGACAAATTTCCATCTGGACATGCTAATTTTTCTAAGGTGATTGGAATTTTCTTATCAAAATAAGTGTATTTGCAATTGCTCAAATAAAAAGTTGGTGACAACCTCTGCTTGGTTACTGCCACTAACACTAACAACATTTCACAAATTAACAAAGAAGCATTTTCGCAAAGGGGTAAAGACATCCAGAAGGTAGGAGGAACTGAAATTCAATAAATGCTGGCGTTCGAATAAAATAAATCAAACCACATGAGTTTGGACAGCAATTCCATGACCCTGATTTCAGAAATTCGAAAATCTCATTTCGTTCCAAGTTCTAACAGACCAGATCATGATGCTTTCAATTCGTCTGATAATTAGATTTCCAAGGTTTCTGACTTAACAATATCATGTACACATTTTCACATGGGTACGTAAACAATTGACACACGATTATGCTGCACCAAGAATCTAGAAAGAAAAAAGTAACTTTGAGCCAGAGCAAAGTTTGTTAAATATAATCAAGTCCTTATTAATCCAAGCACAAATTACACTAGTAGAGTCAAGCAAATTTGAACATGCCTGGCTCAGCTAAGTCATCTCAAAACAACTTCAAGCTTAGCTCAAGCTCCCTGAGGAATAAATAAAAAGGATAAGCTAAGTTTTGCGCAGCACATTTCACTGTCAAGTACCAAGAATCCACAGAAACAGTCAAACAAACTAATGGGTGGTAACATATGTACAAAGGAAATGTCCTATACATTCACATTCCGTCCCATTAAATAAGCATCAACATACTCAGCTGTC